TTGGATAAGTTGGGAGCGCAGCAACAACACATAATCCCTTAGGCAAACCAACATCCTTCTCCAGCCTCATATACCCACCTTCACCCCATGAAGGCCCCCATGAGTTCCTCAATATCCAATACTTGCTAGACTGATGCACCTGTCCGTAACCAACCGCAACCACAACATGGTTCAGATCTGTTCCACACGGTCCTTTGTACACACCTGACTTGTAAAACATAAAAGTTTTCGATTCGGCTTCGATTACCACGGTCACAGGTTGTTTTGCAACTGCTTCCATCAGCGCTGCCTCGGTTTTTGGGGTCACAGACACGAAATCGCTAATGTTTGCTACGATTTCTTTTGCCTTCATCACGTCACAAGGGTTATCGACTTCATTGTACGGGTAATTTGCTGCGGTCGTGAGGCCGCCATTGTCCTTGATGTAACTGTAGGAGTCGCGGGGCCATCCTCCGCCACACCCCAAGGTTTTCCATGCACAGTCCACGAGTTGTTGTTGGGATAGGTCGTAGAGTACGCCGTTCTTGATTTTGTGAAGGCTTTCGACTGCTGCAGCAGTGGCAAATGCCCAACAAGATCCTGTATTTTCGACATGTTTAGGTCGATTTTCTTGCTAGAACTGGACTGAATGTTATTCACGCGTACGTGCTGTTGGGCGGGTACCATCCACAGTTCATGTTTCCTCTTCATTGCAAAATCCAGAATGTTGTAGTCAGTCGCATTACATAATCTTGCGATAATGAGGAAAAGGAAAAGAACATAACAACATGCAAAAGCCATTAATGTTTTCGAGCACAAGGGGGCTTCGTGTTGTACTAGTTTTCTTGGTGATCGTGGAATGAGCAACGTTAGGTGTGCTTATTATATAGCCAAGCTTTGTTGAGCGAATTAAAACCTACTGTCAAAGTTGTTGTGCGCAGCGGAAATTTCGGCAGCACCTCTGGTGCGCAAGGTGCACAACAAGAGATTAGATCACAATGAAATTCTTGCTTCTCAAAGGAAACAAGAACCAAAAGCCAGATATCTCATCAAAGTGAGATATCAGCTCTTCCTCTCGTCAGCTCTAGGACTGCGCGTCGAGGGTCCTCTCGTCAGCTCTAGGACTGCGCGTCGAGGGATCCTACAAGCTATTACAAATCACGGCAAGAACACAAAATTTTACGTGGTTCGGCAAACTGCCTACGTCCACGGGGCAAGGAGGGGGGAGATCTACTATTAGAGGGAGAGAATACAACTGGGGTTTACAATCACTCAATCTAAACCCTCACACAAACTCTCAAATCCCTCACACAATTATCTCTCTCAAAAAGGGGAGCACAAATCAAAGAACAACTGCACTAAGACTTTGCTTTTCTCTGTAAATAGCCGCCAAAGTCTGTCCTTGCTCTCTGCCACTTGCTGCAGTCGAAAAGAAAAAGAAAAAGCTGATTTTTCTTGCTCCACGCAACTGCAGCCGCCAATCAAAAAACTCCCTTGCAAAACCCTCACTTTTCCCGAAACCCTAGGTCTGCTATTAAATAGCTATATATAGCTGCCAATGAGAGAATCGGGTTGTGGGCCTTTCCGCTGCAAATGAATCTCCTCACGCGGTTTTCCACGCGTTAATTGATGAGCTCCTTCACAACGTGGAGGGACCCACGTTCACATCCACGAGACGCTGTCCTCCCCACTTTACCCACTTCGTTCACAATTCTCCACCTCGGCGAAGTTTTCCTAAAACTGAGCCGACACCAACCAAAACAGATGCCTCACTTGTTACATCCAGTACGCCATGGCAACGGACTCATGACAACGGACTCCATCCACAGCAAGTCGAGACCCAAACGGGAGTGCGAACACTCACCCTAAATGTCGATGTCGCTCACCAAATCGATCTCACCCCCATCAACTAATCCAAACCCGGCCGCATCATAAAGACTGCCTACGTATCCTCTTGCCCAAGGAATCAAGCCACAAATAATTGCATGTTTAATTATTGTTGCTTTTTTCAACTATATATGTGAACCAACACATTTTTATTTCAACTAATAATTAATTGGTCCTGGAAGCGCCTTCTCTAGCTGGATCATAACAAATTGAAGCATCGGATTCTAGCAAAATGATATAACAAGATGTGAGAGTAATTCGATCACGATAAAACAAAATTAAAAGCAAACTTTTCGATATGTAAAATCAATTTCTAATTATGCAAATAAGTGGTGGACGATATTGCAATCCTCATAGTAGTATTTGAGATGCACCTAAACAAGGCTCTCGGTCCAGATGGCGTGTCGCCTTTATTTTATCAGAAGCATTGGCCGATAACTGGTAGTGATATATGCAATGCGGTTTGGTAGAGATTGTTGTTTGTTAAATTAAAGAAGTTATTTTGTTTTCTGGGAACCAATTAGAAAGAACCCAGTGCGTCTTTCAGATAACTAGTTCGAGTATCCGTTGGAATTCTATAATACTTACGCAAAGTTGCAAAAAACAGAAAAAATTTTCTTTTTATCTTATGCGCGAACGTAATAAAATTTTTAGGACTTGAATTGTTTGTTTTTCCTTCAAATCTTCCTCTTATCTCCTTATACACTACTTTTCTCTCCTTTCTTCCTTTCTCTTCATGTATAATATGTATCTTATTTTCCCTAGTTAAATAAACTTTTTGGACATTGGACATGAAAACTGTACATTTCCATAAGCTGAGGAACACATTAATAGTTAAATAAACTTTTTGGACATTGGGACCTCCATGCTTGTTTTCGTGAATAACAAAATTAAAACCTAGTGGTATGTTCTGATGCAACATCAATAATCAGTTACATAAAAAGTTTAAACTTAATGGGTACAATGGTCTTTTGAGTCACATAAAAAGTTTAAAATGAAAATAGATGAAGAAAACCTGACATATATATATATTCCATTGAATATGTTTGAGAAGTTCAAATTGACGAACTCCAGGTTTAACCAAACCTGCCGACAACAAAAGGGTTTGTTTCTAAAAGAAAACACCCATGAAAACCACCCACAAAATAGCATGTGAGAAGTTTTATGAACAGAAAAATTTAACCCTGGGGGTGTGTTCTGATACATATCAATATTCATTTTACATACAAAATTTAATATTATATTTCATAAGTTTGTAGCCTGCTTCCTCCTGTTTAATTTATGTTCAAATCCCTGATTTCTCAGTAATTTCCTAAAAAGCTAGCCCCTTCCTTCCTGAAGTACCATCTATTGCGCGCAGCGGAAATTTCGGCAGCACCTCGGTGCAACAAGATAGTTAGGTCGCAACAAGAATTCCCGTTTCACTAAGAAAATAAGAACCAAAAGCAAAATATCTCAACAAAGTGGGATATCAGGTCTTCATCTCATCAGTTCTAGGACTGACCTGTCGAAGGAACCTAAATAAGCTATTACAAATCACACAAATAGCGAGACAATCAATTTTATATGGTTCGGCAAATTGCCTACGTCCACTGGGTAAGGAGGTGGGAGATCTACTAATAGAGGGAGAGAATACAAATAGGGTTTACAATCACACAAATTAAACCCTCAAACAATCTCTCAAATCCCTCACAATCTCTCTTTCAAAAGGCAGCCGCCAAATAGGGTTTTTCTCCTCTGCACGAGGCCTTGCACTTTCTACAATTTTCCCCGCGGTCTCGGGTCTACAGGTCCAAGATCATATCTCTTCAAGCACGTGGGTTGACCCCACCACGTATTCACAATTCTCCACCTCGGCGAAGTTTCTTTCAAAACTGAGCCGACTCCAAAGTATCCAAATGTCCCACTTGTTGTGTCTAGTATGCCGTGAAATAATTCACGACAACGGACTTAATCCACAACAAGTCGAGAACCCAAATAAGAATACGAACAAACTCCAAACGTCAATATTTACTCTCAAATCAGCTGCATCATAAAATGACTGCCTACGTATCCTCTTGCCCAAGGAATCAAGCCTCACGTAGTTCGCACATATATATTCCATTAAATATGTCTCAGAAGTTTAAATTGACGAACTCGAGGTTTAACCAAACCTGCCGACAACAAAAGGGTTTGTTTCTAAAAGAAAACACCTATGAACATACTGATACAACAAAATTAAACACCCATGTGAGAAGTTTTATGAACAGAAAAATTAAACCCTGGTGGTGTGCTAAGATACATATCAATATTCATTTTACATACAAAATTTAATATTATATTTCATATGTTTGTAGCCTGCTTCCTCCTGTTTAATTTATGTTTCAAATCCCTGATTTCTCAGTAATTTCGTAAAAAGCTAGCCCCTTCCTTCCAGAAGTACCATCTTCTCTCTCTCTCTCTCTCTCTCTCTCTCTCTCTCTCTCTCTCCAAATTCCAAGTAATAGAGCGCTTACATGTAAGGAGTTTGGTGAATCCTATTCACATTGACAGAAGTTAAATGACATAACAAGCTGGAATTTGGTTGATCCGAGTAATAGACTGCTTACATGTGAGGAATTTTGTGAATCTTATTCATATTGCCAGAATATATATGACATAACAAGCTGGCATTTGGTTGAGATTGGGATCTGTGATTATGTTAGGAGATTAGCCAAAGATTGGTGTCAAAGACAGCAGCTAAGGCACTAATTAAGATGCAAATTACACTAGTAGAAAATCTCATATCCTAGACGGAATATCTTAGACGGAAATTTTTCCGTCTAGTTTTATATTAAACTAGATGGAAAATTTCCGTCTAGGATAGAGTATTCTAGACGAAATTTTCCGTCTACAATAGTAAAGTAGACAGTTTTGTTATTTTAATTTTTTTTAAAAAAATGAACCAAACATCCTAGACGGAAATTTCCGTCTAGGATGTAACCTAGACGGCAATATCCATCTAGGATGTTTGGTTCATTTAAAAAAAAATTAAAACCAACCAAAACCCTAGCCGCCCCAACCCCCCCAAAATCCCCGCCTCAACCTAAAATTCCCGCCTCTTAAAAATCATAGAAATTCTCTCACCTCTCTTCCCCCATTCTCCTCCCCTGTTTAAAGACCAGAACCGTCGTCCTCCATCAACCGACCTTGCGCCTTCTCGTCCCCCATTCTCCTCGCCGTCCCGTCAGCACCTCCCCCTCATGCCCACGCCCTTCCCGTTGGCTGTCGTCGCCTCCCAAATAAAAAAACCTATTCTCGTTCTCGTTCCCTAAATCTTTAACACCGCTGTCGTCCCCTCTCCTTCGACATCGCCGATGGCATCACCTCCCTCTCTCTCATTCCCGTTCCCCCAAATCAAGTCGTTCGCCTGCCTTAATTTCAGCTACTCCCACTCGCAGAAATCAAGTCCTCCTCCAGCCCATTGTGATCGTCTATTCACGCCGCCGCTGACATGTAAGTACTCCT